ATGGGGATGGGGAGGGGGAAGGAAGGGATGGAGCAGGGAAGCTTGCAGTCTTTGCTGAGCTCCAGCCAGAGAGCATGCCGGCATCCTGGGGGAGTCTGATTTAACTTAAATCAGCAAGGGGTCTGGGACAGGCATTGCATAAACCGGAATGACGTCTGGTACTACATTCAACCAGGTTTATCTCAAACCAGTTTTGGCCATTTTCAAACTGGTTTATGTGCACTGAATATCTTTTCTGTTACAGGTTTAAATCACTGATCACTTAAACTGATTTATGTGTAATATCTGTCCCTAGCCCTGGAGAACATATGGGGCTTTTTTTTTTTGGTTCTGAAAAACAAAACATGTTTAATTTTGTCCATAACCAAGGACAGAAGCAAAATATCTCAAAACAAATGTTATATTATTCTTTTTTGATTCAGAAAAATAGCCTAAGTGTATTATGCTGTCTTAGAACCACAAGCGGTTTTGTAGTATGAAAGAGGAATGAAATTTGGGACTCCAAAGACTCTTGTGGTGATCAAAGAGTATTATATTATTTCCCCAGGACACTTTTTTATTTTTTATATTTGGAACATGATGCGCAGCACAGACACAGCATTTGATGTACATTAGTATTTTTGAGTCCTAGGAATAAGTTACGTTTGGCAGGGATAATTTGGCAGTGTAACTCAATCAGAGGCCATGGAAACCATCTTAAACCTTCATTTCCTTCAGCATTATGGCTAAACTGTAAGAAGGAACTCTCAGAGCTCATTCTAGTACATCACTGGGCATTAGTGGACTTTGTTGCAAAAAATACAACAAAGGTTTGTACAAATAAACCTAACAGAAAAAAATGTCAGTTAGGTTTAAAATAGTCAGTCAGGTTTTAAATAGGTTCTTCTGCAAATATTTACTTTGATTTTAGAAGTAATTATGTGGCACAGCCCTAAGATGATGTTTTGATGGGTTCGATTAGCTGCTGACATGGATAAAAGGACTGAGTCACGAATCTTTATAATTCGTTAAAACATGCATTTTATCACAGAACAAAAGAACCTCTAAAACTGTTGTTGATGCCCTTTGAAATCTAAAAAAAAATTGGGGCTTTCTGATCTTCCTAAATTGCAGCTTTCATATGTTAGGCAAGAAGTGGAATAATCTATCAGAGTAACTACAATACGTTTTATAGCTTTCACAGGATCTTATAAATTATAGAGAAACAAAAAATTCTAAATGAAATCTAAAGCTTTCATCAGTGTCATTACAAATACTGTGCCAACTCTCAGTCTGCAAATACTTAGAAATGTTAAAGTAAAGAGAACAGAATTTTGGCTAGCCACACACTAGGGTGAGTTTACGATGCCAATTGAGTTACCTTAAATCATGATTGTGTTCTCTAAACAAAAGTAACACATTTTTATTTTTCATTTACAGTACTTTTTGATGTACTTGGTTTACATGCTATGGACTTAGGAAAAGAATAAAATGAACAACTGCTATCCTTCTGAACTGTTATAACAATAAAAAGTCTTGGTTGCCTTGATTTACAGCATACTACCTGGGTGTACAACTCAAGCTTTACCTTTCAAATGTCTGCCAATAAACTTCCACATTGAGAGCCACAATTAGTGAGATCCGTTCTGATTGGAAATTAGCTGTCAGCCAGTTTGCAAGTGAGAAACTAGATTGCAGATGCACGCGCAGAGTAATTAAATGAAAGCTCACAGTGAGGACACAGGAATTGCTGTTTTGCTTTTCAAATCCTTTTTAAAAAATGTAATAAAGTGTTTTATTGAAATAGTTACCATATTTTCTCACATAAAACCAAGAACAGTAGCAGTATCAATTACTGTGGCTCTGGGAGCCATAGAATTACCAACTTTACTCGATTCAAAGATGAAGCTGAATTTAAGATAACTCCCCAATTACTAGACTCGGTACATGGAAAATGTGTTATAATTTTTCATGTATAAAATTTCATTATTAGAAGGTCATCTTTAATTCATCTCCTACACCATTGCAGGGAGGCAGGCAACGTGGAGGCAGGTAGTGTGGAGAGGTAAAGCAGCTTGGCCCCTGTTTGTGCCTCCCCCTTGCCACCTTTGTTTTCTGCTTGCTATTCCAGCATCCTAGTGCCTCTTCTCCCTCCACCACTGCCACCTCGCACCCCCACTCTGCGTCCAGCCGAAAACCCCTGCCTCAGGTAATCAGCATTTTTAGATTACTGGCACCCCCCATTCCCCATCCATGCTGGATAACAGAGCTTTTAGTATATGGTAATTCTGCGCTGCTCTTCCCCATCCCTTGTATCTCCCCCTGCTACCAGATGTTCAGACCCATGAGAAGTCTTCCTCCCCAACCATGCACCAGATGAAGCTCATGCATGTGGTTGGCCTGTAGCAGAAAACTGCACTACGGCTCCATGGCCATGTGCCGTTGGACCTGGTGCATCAACTCTGGGACTTTGCACTGGCTCTAGGGCTGTGTGCTGGGTGAGACTTGGCACGAAGCTCCAGGGATAATGTGTAGGATTGGTTCTGTTGTGCAGTCCTTGTGTTGCTGTGGCCAGTTTAGGTCCCACTGTGCAGGGTTAGGGCCAGGTGTGGCCCCCAGCCCTGGCACATGTCCCCCCAGCGCCCGAGCCCCCCACCCCAACATGTTGCCCCCAGCCTGTGGCCCCAAGCACCAGAGATGACGGATAACCAGTATGTAACCATGCTCCATGGTAAGACTTTTTTTTCTTTTTAGGGCCTTGCAAAAATAGGGTGCCTGTTATATTTGTGGGCATGGTATATGCAAAAACAAAATTGTACTATGGACCTCTGGGATTACCTTGGTGGGACAAAGGTAATGTCCTACTTATGTTTTCTAATAATGGTGGGTATTAAATATGAAATTACATACTTACCACTCAGTTACCCAAGTTGTATGAAGTAAATTTTGGCTGTTAAGCAGTTTGTTATATTTATTTCTACATTTGAGCTTTGAATCTCTGCTGGACAGACCTTTCTTGAAGCAAGACAGATGTTTTGACCATCAGATATGTTTTGTTCTCCTGCAGACAAAATCAGTTGGTTTGCTTGATGCAGATGTATATGGGCCTTCAATTCCAAGGATGATGAATTTGAAAGGAAATCCAGAATTAACTTCACGTAAGTGGAAGCCATGTTTGCTCTGATATTTTATGTTTAGTTTGGTATTCACACCTCATCACAATGAATCAGTATTTCCTAATCATCCATTGTAATATAAGTATGACATGGAAGGGCCAATACTACTACTACTACTACTAATAATGGAAAAATGGATTTGGTATATCCAACTTTTTCCTTCTCTTTTTAAAAAAGAAAAAAAGAAAAATCCTTGTCAAAGTCAGTATAGCAAAACAGTATGCCTGGGAAAGAGGAGGAATGTAATTATGGTAGGTTATATCAAACACCTTTTAGCTATCCAGCTGACTTTGACTTTGTCTCTTACTTTTCATTGAGCCACTCTCCAGGCCACTAGATTTGCTTTCATAGTATCATAGTGCTTAGGATCGGAAGGGGCCTAAACAGATCATCAGGTCCAACCCCCTGCTCCGGGCAGGAACAGGGGCCAGGGTCATATCACCCCAGCCAAATATCTGTCCAGCCTCCTCTTGAGGACCCCCGAGGTAGCAGAGAGTACCACCTGACTTGGGAGCCCATTGCAGAGCCTGGCAGCCCTAACTATGAAGTAGTGTCTCCTGATGTCCAGCCTGAACCTTCTCTTAACAATTTGTGGCCATTATTCCTAGTAACCAAAGATGGTGCCCGGGGGAATAGAGCCTCCCCCAGTTCTTGCTTGTCCTCCCTGGTGAGTTTATAAACAGTCACCAGGTCCCCTCTCAGCCTTCTCTTGTGGAGGCTGAACAGGTTCAGGCCCTTTAGCCTCTCCTTGTAGTGTCTGCCCCACTGCCCCTTGACCATGCAAGTGGCCCTCCTCTGGAACCTGTCAATGCTAGCCACATCTCTCTTGAAGTGCGGTGCCCAGAACTGGACTCAGTACTCCAACTGTGGCCTGACCAGTGCCGCATAGAGGGGAAGGATCACGTCCCTGGATCTGCTTGTGATGCATCTGTGGATGTACGACAAGGTGCGGTTAGCCTTACTGATCACTTCCTTGCATTGGCAGCTCATGTTCATCCTGGAGTCCACAATGACTCCAAGATCCCTTTCTGCCACCGTGTTGACAAGAAGGGTGTTCCCCAGCCTATAGGTGTGTTGCTGGTTCCTTCTCCCTAGATGCAGCACCTTGCACTTGTCTGTGTTGAATTCCATCCTGTTCTCGTCCGCCCGCCTCTGTAACCTGTGTAGATCTAGCTGGATTCTGTCCCTCCCCTCCAGCGTGCCCACTTCGCCCCACATCTTAGTGTCATTAGCAGATTTGGACAGCGTGCTTTCCACACCCACGTCCAGATCGCTGATAAAAATGTTGAACAGTACAGGCCCCAGTCCCTGGGGGACTCCACTGCCCACATCCCTCCAGGTCAAAAATGACCTTTCCATCACCACTCTTTGGGTGTGACCATCTAGCCAATTTGACACCCATCTGCCTATACACCCATTTGCCACTGATGTGTAGGCATCAGTGCCACAGTCGCAACATTTTTTTTAAAGAGAATGTGGTGGGACACCGTGTCAAAGGCCTTCTTAAAGTCCAGGAAGACGACATCCACCTTGACGCCCTTGTCCAGGGACTTCGTGACCTGATCATAAAATGAAACAAGGTTGGTCAGGCAGGACATGCCCTCATTGAACCTATGTTTGTTACCCCTGAGCATTACCTCCCCTTCTGGGCCCTTGCAGATATGCTCCTTGATAATTTTCTCAAAGGTCTTCCCAAGGTTTGTTTGACGTTTCCTTGGAGAGACTGGGGGAATTCTTTGCTCATCTAGAGCTGAGAAAGGAAGTTTTTTGTCTTCTGCATCAGAAGCCTTCCTGCAGGCAAGAGAAGTATGGGGGAAAGAGAAGAAAGTAGGGAGGACAGTGCCCATGATTACCTGTTGCAGCTTTAAGCTGCTGAAAGCCATTGTCTAGTTGAAGATCTGTAACAGTTTTCTTGGAAGTCTCTCCTCTCCTCCAGTGCACAGACCAGGTTCAAATATATAGTTGCTAGTATGACCGAATAAAAATCGTCTGGTAAGTACTTTGTTACACACACCATTAAGCCCAGTTGAAAAAGTTGAAAATATTTGGATGTACAGACCAGTCCCTGTTGTTAAAATGATGGCCAAGTACTGTGACCCTATCGAAGAATGGACAGATTGACAGTACTGCCTACACACACATTGCTGTGGACAAGGGCAGAGAGCGAACATATGCTTGTTCCATTTTAAAAATGGGCTGCAGCTTTGCAAGAAGTATTAGCGTTAACTTTTAAACTTGTGGACAGGAAGTCATAGTAAAAAGGAAGTAGAAGATGCTTTCAGTTTCTAGTAGTGCCATTACCTTTGTGTAGTTAATACATTGTTTTGCATAGTGTTCATTTTTTAACATACACGTGAGCATTTATAATTGCAGATGTTGAATATGAAGGAGCTTATTTTGAGGGGGGTAATTTGGTACATTATGATTTTGTATAATATTTATAAAAAAATGTAAAAGAACAGTATTTAGTTTCCAAAGTCAAATGCTCAAAAATGAAGAACTGTTTGTACAACTTAAATTATTCTCCTTTATGTTTCTAGTTTGTGCTCTCAGAGAGAGGGCAGAGGTTCCCAAACTTTTTCTTTTTGCATACCCCCTTCCAGATTTATCAGCTGTCCACATACCTGTATCAGCATATTTTTTATATTTCTCCTGTGTACCCCCCAGAGATGTCTTGTGTGCCCTCAGGGGTATGTGCACCACATTTCCCTTTTCTTCGCTGGCTGCAGCATTCCACCCTGCACCCTGCTCGAGTCCTTTGAATCCCTCCCCTGGCCCCCATGGGGCCCCAGCCAGGGGCCTAATGGGGGGGCAGCCCCTACTGCCTCTTCCCCACTCTCTGTTTAAGGGGGTTGGGGAGCAGCCCATTCCAGGCTTTTGCCCCTTCCCCTTTGAGTGGAGAGCTGGGGTGTGGCCATGCCTCAACCAGGCACACAGAGGAAGTTGGGGTAGCGGGGTTTCAACTCCCCACCATGCTGCATTGGATTCCAGCTGGCAATGCCTGGGTGGAAGAGGGGGAGGAGAAAACCCTGGCAGGGACCCTGGTGGGGGACCTCCCCCCATCCCCTCAAATGGGAAGTGGGGAACAGAAGCCTGGCAGGGGCTATCTCCCCTCCATTGCCCCCTGCCCAGACAGACGTGGCTGGGGTCCTTTGCCGGCATGGCAGGGGCTTTAAACCCCCTTTCCCCACTCCTTCAGCATGCTAGCCTGGGGTCAGGGTGTGGCTATACCCCCACTCTCCACTCCAACAGGGAAGGGGCAAAAGCCTGGCAGGGGCTGCCCACAACCCCCTCGAGTGGGAAGTGGGGGAGAGGCAGAAGCCTGGCAGGGGCTGCCCTCCCATCAGACCCCTGGCTGAAATCCCATGAGGGCTGGGGAAGGGATTTAAATCCTCTCCCTCCCTGCTTCAATGTACACCCCCTGGGCTGGGGCATAGGCTGCTCTCCACTCAAGTGACGAGAGAGGGAGAAAACCCTGGCAGATGCTTCCCTCTCCCCACACTTTAGCGGGGAGCAGAGGGAGAAGTGTGGTAGCCGCTCCCCCCAATGTAGATCCAGGCTGGGGTTCTGTGTGGCCATTGAGGGGGTTTAAACCCCCTCCCCCCAGCCTGTTGGCCCTGGGTGTGGCTATGCCCCTCACTTTCAGCTGGGGGTGGGGAGAGCCTGGCAGAGACTGCCCCTCCCCATAGGGAGCAGTGGGACAAAAGCCTGGCGGGGGCCTGTGTGCCAGGGATGGGGTTTAAACTCCCCTCTCCTCCTTCAACATGGAGGCCCAGACCAGGAATGGCATAAGCCTGGCAGGGTGCCCCCTCCCCACCTGTGGCTAGCCCCGAGCTGGCATCCCATGTGGGCCACGAAGTGAGATTTAAAGCCTGCCTCTCCCTGGCCTCAGCATGCTGGCCCCAGGCTGGAGTTTGTCCATGCCCGCTCTGCTTAAGCAGGGAGGGAGGAAAAGCCTGAAGCTTCCTATCTTCCCTTTAGCAGTGGCTGGCAGGCTGGGAGGGGTGCTCTAGCACCTCCCAGCTTCTGGCCTGAGCCCCTGCAGGTGTGTGGCTGCATTTCCAGAATCGAAAGCGAAAGTCTGTTCACTTGCTTCTCAGTTCAAGCTACACAGTTTAGACTAACCTGCAAAGACTGAATTGATTCAGCCTCTGGCTTTTTGAATGTCTGTACTTACCCCCAAAGTTTGTACCCTGTGGTTGCCCCTCCACCACCCACTTACCTTTGCTATGGCACTAGCAGTCTCTATCCCCGCTGCATCCTGGGGCACTGAGCACAGCTCCAACCTGGCCCCATAGCAGTGCTGCAGAGCCAGCACTGCTGCTACAGGGCTGGGCTGTGACCATGTTTCATGTTCCAGGCTTCAGTGAGGATGGAGCCTGCTGGCTCCAGAGCAAAGGTAAGGGGGGTGGGGGGTGTGGATTGGGGCTGGATTGGGGCTGGATCTGGAGCCCCAGCAGCTTCCTGCTGCTGCTGCCTCATACATGATTCTAAGATGAGGGGTTTCTCCACCCCCCCATGTTAAATGGGGGAGAGGGGGGAAACTTTGTTTTTTTATTTAAGTAAATATAGTTCTATTCAGAAAGTGAAAGCCTTAGATCTCTATTTTAGTTTACAGTTGTGGACAAGCGAACAATTATTGTGCAACAGTTGCTCTGGAGCAAGTTCTACTCCTAGTTAACTTGCTTTTAAGTATCCTCAGTCTGCTAAGGAGTGACAAGTGAGTGACTTTTCCTCTTAACTGCAGTATCAAAAGGAATTTTTTCAGAAAAACTAGGAGAGCAGGAATGTAGAATAAATGTCATTTAATAACAAGTCCACTTCAATTTTATGTTTACAGTTTTATTGGTAAGAATATTTTAGTGAATCTAGGTATATTGCTGTATACAGTGGAGAGCTTGTATCTAGATTTATTCTTAAGTGCATGATGTGCGTGAACTTTTCATACAGAGGAAGGAATGTAGTATGATCAACAGATAATG